TGGTCATGAGTTCAATCCCTGGGTCAGGCAGTGAAATCCACGTCTGATTTCAATGGAACAAGCAATAGCACATCACAAAGATAAATTAATTAAGAATTAAGTAAATATGAGTTATCTCCCTTGGCATGGAAAGTTGGTTTGAAATCTTGTTACTAAATATAACAGATATCTGAAAAAGGTCAAAGGGCACATTGATCAAAATGTTGTGACAATAACAATTAGGATGAAAACAGTAGTTTGAGTAATTCCGTGTATTTAATTAAATATTATATATGTAAATGGCATATTGACTTTTATTCATAAATACTATGTGTAACTAGTGTATAATATTGCCTTTTACTTATTAATTTAATTTATAATATTATGACTTTTTATAAATTAAATATTATAATTTGAGTAATTAGTGTAGAATATTGACTTTTATTTATTAGTAATTTATAATACTGACTTTTATTTATTAAAAAATATTATTATTAAATATGTTTACTATGTTTGTTCGCAAGTCAAATGAAATTTTAATTATATTAAATGGCTTATTTTTTAGGTACCACCAATATTTGTGGTAAAATATATAAAAACGCATTTAAAATAATTTATATGCTTCCTTTTTAGCAAAATTTTGGTTTTCTTTGAATGATAAAAACCTAAAGCTAATCAGTAGGAAAAGAAAAATTAATTTTCGTTTACGAATAAAATTTTTAGACATTTTTAAAACATTCTCACGTTTACTCATCACTCAATGAATCACCATTATAGACAAACAATGAAAACAATCATTTTAAAAATCTCTTAAAAATTCAGTATTTGTCCTAGAGTTGTTTTTCAAAGTAAATTATTAAAGTTAGGGATTAATTAACTGGATTTTATAAAAATTAATGTCTACTTTTCACTTCAAAAATAATGAACATAACGTTTGTTTATGCTTGGTAGCCTGTGATGCCATAGGTCAATAATAGTATTTTTCTACTGCCATCCATAAAAAAATTAAAAAAATTAAAGAAATATAAAACACCAGAAATGCAATGATGAAGAAATTGGTATTTTTATGTTGAAAAATAAATTATCTTTAATCTTATAAAACCAATAGTTTAAGAATATAATTTGTTATTCTAAATGCTTTTATGAAACATACTAGAATGAATAATTTATTTTTATACTACATGAGAAGTAGAAAGTAGAAAGTAATTAAAAACTAATGAAATAGTACTTTTGAGTTTAATTTATTACTTTTATTTTTTGATCATTTTCTTACCTTTTTGATATTTAATTGCACCCAGTGAGGTCTTTTTTTAAAATCAAATTCACCCCAAGCAAGGTAATAAAGCCACTAAGGCATAACGGGGGTTACTAAGTGTGAAAGAATTAGAAAACAGAACTATTATTAAGGAACGGGAAGAATAGAAGAGTAATCAGGAAGACAGCAGATAACAATTGACATTGCATTTAAATTTTTGAAGATCAAAATTGGCTGAATAGCATAGAACTGGAAGAGAGTTCCACAAGCGAGAAGTGCGAAAAATACTGTTAACATCTCACTAATTCAACTATAAATTGATGAGACCATGTTGCCAATCTAGTACTGCACTTAAATTCATAAAGTTTAGGCACTATAGTGAAGAGCTTATCCAAACAATTACCATGAAAGTATTTATACAAAAAAAGGCACAGAGATGCAACCATATGGCAGTGAGAAAGTGACTGAATCTGAAACAAGGGCAATAATCAAGAAATTGGTATTTATATTTAAAAATAAATCATCTTTAACCTTTTATGACCAATATTTTAAGAATATTTTTTTTTATTTCACACGTTTTTATGAAACTTAGTATAACTAATTTTAAATTTAGAATTATAAAAAAGAAATTAATTAAAATCTATTGAAATGATACTTTTGAATTCAATTCATTGCTTTTATTTTTTTTATTATTTTCTTACCTGTTTGATGTCATAAAATATTTATTTGCATCCAATTAGGTCATTATAATTAAACTGAAGGAGATCCCTAAAAACTGGTTGTGGGGAGACTGATAAAACTCAATACTGACAAAGATATTAATCTCCCAAGAAGGGCATGATTCAGAATTTTTTTCCTATTTGATCTTCCATATAAAACAAATAATCTAACAGTTGTGAAAATAATAAATAAAATTCTTTTAAAATATTTCTGATGCAAAAATGGCATCAAACTTTATATTTTTTTGATTCTTCAAAAAACATATAATAAAAAAAGATCTCTTTTGTTATCAGCAATCAGAAAAATTTCAAAATCACAAAAAATTAATAATTTTATTTTTTATACGATATTAGAAGTATAAAAAAGAAATTAATTAAGAGCTAGTTAAATTATACTTTTAATATTTTTAAGTAATTTTTAATAAATAAATATACATTGTAGATTTTATTCCCTGTCAAATTTGAAAGAAAATAATACATTTTATTGAATTATGCAATTACCAACTCTCAATAAAAATTATTTTTTGAGTTTTATTGAATTATTTTTGTGAGGTTTCAAGATAAATATTCAAGATTTTTTGATTTGATATTGCAATAAAATGCATTCTGAAATAATATCTTCTTTATAAAACTATAAAATATAGTCATCACTCCAATTTTTATAACACCATAAAATATAGTCATCACTCCAATTTTAAATGTCTTCCCAGTGTATCTAATATTTCTACAAAGTTTTATTAATTAAATAACCTATTCAGTATACAATTACAGTGTAACCCGGATATAAGAGAAACCCGGATATAAGAGAGATTTTCTCTGGTCCCAAATTAGAGCCTGTGTTAATGTATATAAAATAGACCAAACCCGGATATAAGAGAAACCCGGATATAAGAGACTTTTTCTCCGGTCCCGACAACTCTCTTATATCTGGGTTACACTGTAGTTCATTAATGAATAAGTGCTAAAAATTTCATTTAAATCAGATAATTTCCTGATTTTTGGTAAATTTTTAAATACAGAAGATAGTATTTTTTAATGCTTTCATTTTGAAAAAAAAAAAAAACCTCCATTTTGGTTAGGGCTTTCAGTGTTTGGAGTAGCTTTTTACAGTTTCTATTTCACAATGAATAATAATAATAATAATAATAATAATAATAATAAAACAACACAATACTACAAATTGATGAGTGAAGACAATACTTAAAAAACAATCTGATGGCCACTGATGCATGAAGATGTGACACTTAAGAAAAAATAGTAACAACAAACAATGTATAAATACTCACCATTTAAAAACAAACAATGAGACACAATATATTCATTCTATCAATACAAAATTAAAGATCTTTGATAATGGCTTCCATTGTTGATTGAATTTATGTTTATTATCATGTTCTGTTTTTGTCCGGTTCATTTTCTTTTGTATTGTGATGAGGAACTGAATTTAAAAAAAGACAAAAGTTTTAAAAGTTACAAAACCACAAATATTAATGAAACAAAAGATATTAACAAAACACAACTCTATAGGATATGAGTTTTAACTGTAAACTGAATCCAAAACTGTAAACTAATATGAAAAATAGTAAAAAAGAAAACTAATAGTGTTAATGTATATTTTTTATGGGTTCAGTTAAAAGAGATTGGGAGGAATGGAGGTCAAGCGACAACAAGTTGCACCATAAAAAAATAACAAGAGATACTCAGTGAGATGTAAAACCAAAACCATTTTATTCAAATAAAATAAAATAAAATTTTAATAAATATTAGGAATGCTCAAATTTGGTGGTTTGTGCACCCAGAAAAGGTGGTAATAAATTCCTGGACAAGCAAATTATTTTTTCTAAAATAAGGCACAATGGTAGTTGTGGGAAAAAGATCAAGTTTACAATCTGTTATATTCCGTGTTAATAGGAATATCTACTTGAAAAATAAGGTGGATAAAATAAGTAAAGGTTTGTTGTAAAAAAACAGTACAATAAGAATAAAGGTAACAGTTATGCACAAGGTCGTTGCAAGTCAATCCAGTAGTGACTGCTACTATTGGAAGATTGGTAGTTCTTGCATAAGTCAGAGTAGTACTCAACAGATTCCAGCTAGACGGTATCTAGCAACTGCCCATGCTGTCACATGTGGCACAAGGCCGAGTTTAATGTGGGGTTCCCGAGCCCGTAGGCTAGGCAAAAAAATCCCCCATAGACCCCCACATGAACGGGATCAGGTTTGTCTACCTCCCTGGATGAGACTCCACCCTTCAGCATAGCCTCGTCCAGGTTCCTCTCTGCTGAAAGGCAGAGAGTTCAACCAGCACAGCTGGAAAAGATTCCATCTAGTCTCTGTAGTCTATTGACTTACAGATACTTATAGGTAGTTACTACCTATAGTGTAGTCACTCATGGGGGTGACAGGTTATTCCATTACATCATAATCAAATAAATCAAATAACATGAGATTTCACAAGAAAAATGCCAGGGTATACAAAACAATGCAATTTACAGTTAAGATACAATAAAAGGGTTTCAGTGAGGTTGAACACAGGTAAAAGGGTATATTTACCTTGAAGGTATAATGTGTGAATGTTCTTAATAGCTTTTGTGATTTGATATGAGTTTTTGAAGTTCGTGACAGAATCTGTCCATACCTTCAGAGTTCAGAGTCTTCAAACAGTTTGTGAAAAATAATTTTTAACAGTAATGCACCACATCTACTCAGGGAGATAATTGAGACATCCGGAGGAAGGGTATGTGGAACTAGAACACTCTACCCTGGTGGTTCAGTTTGAAATTCTAATTACCTGAAGAAGGCTGGAGCATATAATAGCTGAAATGCTGTGAATAATGCAATAAAGATGAAGACAACACTCTGAAGAATGTAAAGAATGTAAATAATCCCTCATCTCAGAAATATAGACAGATATTAAGACTAGTCTAGTTGACCATCACTACCAATAAGAAAGGTTGATCCTCACTGGGTGCCCCATACAAAATTGTGATTCATTTTGTTTTTAATCCATTTCATAACTGAAAATGTTTGTTCACATCAGAACAGTCTATGGTCAAATCATGCTGAAAACACCAGTTTTCATTCAATCATCAGAGTTAAGCAGTATCAAGCCTGGTCAGTACTTAGATGGGGACCACTTGGGAACATGGGTTACTGTAAGCAATCTCCTACAATCAGCTTTAAATAACCCACAGAGGGTTGATAAGTTGTAAAAAAAAGAAAAAAAATTAATCAGTTACATGACAGGTATAATTTTAAGCAATTTTTCTTCATTCTGGAAAATGCTACATGGTAATGATTGCTAGAAATTAATAATGTCTGAAAACTCTACTCACATTCTAATTCCAGATCATAGTTTTTGTTTTGGAAAGGTAGTCTGAAATAATAACTTCTCATCTCAGAAATTCAAATAGAAATTCTTTGTATATTTTTTTCTCATATTTTCAATCTCTCATCCATTTTTTTCTTTACCTTCTCTTTCTCTCATATTGCATCTTTGGCTTTTTCTTTTTGCACTTGGCAGTTTTGCAACTAAAAATATCTCAATAGTATAACTGGAGAAAATAGATATTAACTTACCATTGAATAATTATATAAAATAGTTTGAACCAATTAAGCGATTTTATATATATATATTTTTTTTATATATATATTTACTGAAGGTAAATCAGTGTTTTATTGTAATAGAAAATTATTGTTTATAATACAGTTTGTAAAAGCATTTGTCCGGTTTCAAAGGCATATGAACTTGAATGTATTGTTTCAAATTAGTTGTCTCCAAGGAAAATAAAATAGTTTTACATTATTACATTCATAATTAATGTGTTGGAATCCATTAATTAAATATCATGTTTCAGAATAATTGTTGTTTTATTTGAATTCTGTAGATGTGTGTGCAATGAATGAATAATGTGGCTGTGAACAATCCAAGGGAGATAACTGGTGTTGACTTAAATACAAACTGTATTTGAATTTACAGAAAAGAGTGCAATTTAACGATTATCAGAGAGTTTTTTTTTTTTAATGATTCTGTATTATCAGCTGAAGCGACATTAACATTTAAACTGATTTTTATTTATTATCGTTATGAGACATTTTTAGATTAAAAAGATTTGATTTTGTGGACAGTGGTAATATTTAACTTTTTCTGTATAAATTGAATTGGATGACAACACATTAAGAATGATTGCATACAAATTTCTTTCTCCAACAAGTTAGATGACAATTTTTTTTTTATCTATTTATTAAAAAGCGAAATTGGTATTAAAGAAAAAATGTTCTAATCAGATCTTAGAAAATCGATTTTTACTGGACTTTCTCTTTAGTCTTTCTTCTATAGTTGAACGATTGACCAACAGAAAAAATGGCTGTTTGCTTGTCCTAGGTCATTGGCTATGATTGGCACGGGATTAGAAAACAAATTCAAGTCAAAAAGATCTTTTTAATAATAATAACAACTAGTTTTAACCTGGGAAAATTTCAGTTTTCCTATTTTAATATTCATAAGTTAATGATTGAGTAAGCTCATGATGAGTTCTACTCCAATAAAATATCTGTAGAAATTCATTAAGTATTTGAACTTAACAACTTTAACAAAATATTGCTATAACAATCATAAATATGGATGCTGGTTGTTATTTTAAGAAGTGGGTACAAATGAAAAGATTTGAAATTGACAGTTTTTTCCATTTCACTGAAACAGCTGTTAAAGATTTCCATCTTCTTTTCTTTCTTTCATTCATTCATTTTCTTACTGAACCTATAGTGGCATGGGATTGATTGACCAATTCCAAAAAGATTAATGAAGGATGATAATGATGAAGAAACACATGGGTAATTTTAATAAAACAAGGAATTTATTCACGAATTTACACACTTGAAGTAGTGTCAGCAGCTCATTTCAGGAAAATAAAGCAGATTTCTTAAAGTCTTTAGTTTTAATGTATTGTCATGAAGAGGAAATAGTCATACAACAGATTAAATAATCTGACATAAAATAATATTCAAAAATGTTTAAGACAAATGTAAGAGAGTTCGTTGATACCAGGTGCTGTAAGTTTGGATTTTTGCTGTAATGGCTAATAGCTCAGAATTGTTAATCAGAGAAGCCAAGTTCCAAATTCCAGTTGAGTTCATTATATTCACTTACACACAAACTTGGGAAATATATTAATCCACCTCTTCCCCCTCAAGCTATGGGTTAATTAGTAAAACTTGTATCACTAAACTATTATTATTCCCTCTACCCCCACAAAAAATTCTTATTTTCTAAATATTTTCTGGCTATAAATAACCTACAAAATGTTGATAACCTGTAAAAAATGAATGAATCAATTACATATTCAATCTTGTGCATGTGACAAGTAAATTATGAAAAGATTAAATAACTTACTATAAAAATAACAAAAATGAGAAAATTGACAGATATTTGCTGATATCTCCTGATGAGTGGAATGAACAATTGCACAGCCATCTACAAACTCTAGAGTCAATCAGCTAAGAGACATTTTATATTTGTATCAGCTAAGAGACATTTTATATTTTGTATTCCTATATTTGTGGACTCTCTTGCTGCAGTCAACAAATAAGGGCTCAATAAAATAAAGAGGTGCTCAACTTTTATGAACTCACATGTGTCTCCCAAGGCCTGTAGGTGTTTTTCAAATTTTTAGACAGATGGAACATGTGGCTGAGCCATTTTGCTCAAGTGTTTGAGGATCAATTGCCACATGTTTCCTGAAGTGGACAGCAAGGCATGCTTTATTACATGCAACAGAGCCACTGTTGCAGGTAAGACTATCATTGAGAGGGGCAGTATGCTGCCAAGTTTCTTTAATATTTGCACGCAGTTGATCCCAATGTTCAAGTCAGCCTTGCTCCAACCTTTGTATTGATGCAAAGTAGCTTTGATGCTTTGTTTTCCAAGGAAGTAAAGGGGATGCTGCATTGCTTTAGATTGTCTTTGAGTTTGGGTAGACTGTTCTAATTCCATGTGCCATTCATTTTTTAATATCTCAGTTTCAGTTAATTCACTTTAGTAAATCAACTCTGCAAGTTTTTGTTTCCCTCTGCTGTGGCCAGGTATTGAACTTACAACTCTTTGGGTTAAAGTCACTTTTTGGATCACTCAACTAACACTTTTGTCCCTGGTGACACATCGCCCAGTGGATAAAAATGTTCCCACCAACAATAAAAAAGACACATGCTTTGTGATCCCTTTTAAAGATATTTAAGCAAAGTTTCTTGACAGAAAAAACATGAAGGAGAGACAATCGGCAATAGCCCATGATGTTTGACTTAAATGAAATTCCCTTACACATTCACCTGTTTTCCTCACCAAGTCACGGCTTCTTTCTCCCATATACACACTTAAAAATTACGTTTCTTTTCATCTTGAAAAATAACTACAATGAAAGGATTGTATCCAGACAAATATAAGAACTTTAACAGTCACACATGCTAAGAAAAAATTAGTTGTAAAAAAAGATACAAAAATATTTTATGTTTTTATATTTAAACATCATTTGCTTAGTATCTGTCTATATTTATGAGATGAGGTATTATGTACATTATTTACATTATTCGGACTAATGTCCTCATCTTTGTCGCCATATTTATTACAACGTTTTGGCTGTTGTATGCTCCGGCCTTCTTCAAGGACACATGGCACAGTGGATAAAGGCGTTGGTTAGATCCAGTGAAAAGACCCAAAGAGTGTGAATTCAATACCCGGTTAAGGCAGTGGAGAACTTTCAGAGGGAAAATTAACAGGAGATAACTGATAACTGACATCCATTAAACATGGCACGTGGAACTAGAACAGTCTACCCCAGTGAGCAAAATAAAGGGTTCAGTTCGACATTCCAACCACCTGAAGAAGGTTGGAGTGTACAACGGCCTAAATGTTGTAATAAATATGCTGACAAAGATGAGGACAATAGTCTGAATAATGTACCATTTGCTTAGTTATGATAGCAACAGATATTTGGCAATTATTAAGAAAGGTATTATCAAGTGTTGTTAGTACGACAAGTGTGTGTGAGATGTTTATTTAGTTTTTTTTATAATTAATGAGGACCTTAGCCTGATGAAAGAAGAATATTGTTACTGATGACCTTGGGTGCCAATAATAACAAGTCATTTGTCACCTGGCTCATGATTTGAGGCAAGCACTAAGTCAGCAAAGTATCTTTCACTGCATGGCTGGTTGCTTCACCAGAATGCATTGATTGTGGTGATTTAGAAGAAACTATTTCATATGATGAAGTGCAGGTAGTGTAACGGTTAGCGGCTCACAAAGAGAAATCTGAAAGCTGTGTTCAAATTCCGGTCAAGTTCGTTACATTCACTTTCATCCAAATACCCTTGGGGAAATAGTCCTGGGTATGATGATAAACTACATCTGGCAGCAAGGCCTCTGATTGAGAGATTGGAGGTTTTGAGGAACATGGAACCACTTCTTAATTGCTGTTGTCCCAGGTCCGCTCTGATCCGGATTGTAGCACCTATTATGGACAAATAGTGAACCCCTACTATGAAAGTATAATAATATATGTTTTAGTAAAAATACCAGTAATAAATTTTTATATAAAATAATTCCCAACAATACATCAATCAACATGAAAGAATTCTTTCATGACATTCATTCATATAATGTTCTACAATTTCTTAAAGAAATCAAACTGTATTTCAAAATCCAACTTCAACAAAACTAAAACATAAAACACACATATCACCGCCTGTAGTATTTATGTCCACACAAATATATATATATATATATATATATATATATATATATATGCATAAAATAGAGTGTCATCTACCATGTATTCAATTGTGAAAGCAGAATAACATTTTTATTACTTCAAAGCTCCCAAGAAAATTACATTTTGGCATTAAATGACCTATAAGCAGCTGATCTGCTGTTAAACAAACTCTTGGGAAAAGAATGAATCCATCTATGAGATAAATGGAATAATGATACACTAGGCTTTCTAACCGTGGTTGACAACCAATCTAGGTGAAAGACAATTCTAAATTCAAAACCATATGTAGATCTAGTGAGAGGAATGCTATAGAACCATAAAAAAATTGAGTTCACACCAAGCTATGGCTAGGGGTTATGAACTTTATGATTTTGATGAGGGGCAGGAAATTGA